AAAGGAAGAAGTGTAAGCTTACCCAAGGAGTCCTGAGCGGCGGAAGAGGAACGGCGTCGACTCGGCAGCTGCCCGCCAATCCGGTGCGCATTCGGGGGTAGGCTGGCTGATAGACCCGTCTCCTGAAGATCCGAAGATGGCGAAAATCGGAAGGCTTTCGGAATTCGACGTCTCACATCCAGAGCGGTGGGAGTCCTACGTATCCAGAATGGAGAACTACTTCAAGGCAAACCAAGTGAGGGAAGATAGCTTGAAGGCGGCCACCCTGCTTTGCGTTTGCGGCCAAGACGCCTTCGAAATCGCAGAAAACCTTGCAGCACCTGTCCCAGTAGAGTCTGTAAGCTACGCAGACCTGAAGAAGCTGCTGAAGGAGCACTTCCACCCCAAGGTGTCCGTTATCTCATGGCGCCACACCTTCGAACAGAGATATCAACGGTCCGGTGAGTCAGCCAAGGAATACATCGCCGCGTTACGGAAGGCCGCCAAGCCCTGCGAGTTCAAGGACCTCGAGGAACGACTGAGGGACCGATTCGTGTGCGGGTTAAGGCATCGAGAGCTACAACAGAGACTTTTCGCTAAGGAAGAATTATCCTTCCAAGACGCCTTAAGGGAAGTCACCGCAGAAGAAGCAGCAGGCGGCGCCGTCAAGAACATGCGGCCGATCAGAAGCAGTGCAGAGGGTGCGTCCGTGCACCAGGAAGACGTCCAACGAAACTCCGAGGAGGATCCGGACGAGGAAGTCGACCGTCTACACCCCGCGAAGGAAGAAAATCAGAAGGGAAGCTCTTCGGCTCCGCTCAAGTGCATCGGCTGTGGAGGTCGCCACAGGAGAACCGACTGCAAGTTCCGCTCCGCTACCTGCCGGGCATGCGGCAAACAAGGGCACATTGCAGCTGTGTGTCTGGGCCGACGAAAGGCACAACCCCAAGAAGAACGCCTGAAGGGTACCAGACTCCCCAGCCAGAATAGGGTAGGTTTTTGCGCTTCGCGAAGAAGCATCTGTAGGACAGGCACACACAAGCCCATGAAGAAAAAGCTGTCACTCAACGTGAAGCTACAAGGGGTTCCATTATCTATGGAACTAGACACAGGGTCTGCCCTTTCCATCATTTCATTGCATACATTTAGGAAGATTTGTTCCAGAAGTGGGTCTAAGGCCAAGTTAAGGCCTTCTGATATTGTATTAACAGATTTTCAGAACTCAAGAGTGTGTGTTAAGGGGGAGGCCACCCTTAACGTGCAATACAAGAGTTTTGAAGGTCCACTAGACTTATTAGTAGTAGGGGGTGAACGAACGAGTCTCATAGGACTCGATTGGTTTGAGGCCCTGGGGATACACGTCACAGGACTCAACAGCTTACAAACACTCGACCTACAGGAAGTCTGCAAAGAATTTGCAGATGTTTTCAGCCCCCAGCTGGGCACATTCAAAGGACCACCTGTGTCCTTAAAGCTAGACCCCACTGTCACTCCCATTAGGATTAAAGCAAGAAGGGTCCCTTTTGCTTTAAAAAGTAAGATTGACACTGAATTAGACAAACTAATCCAACAGGGAATCCTAGAACCTGTTGATTCCAGCCCGTGGGAGACCCCCATTGTCACGCCTCTAAAGGCAAATGGGGACATTCGCATTTGTGCTGATTACAAATGCACACTCAATAAGGCATTGCAGCAACATGCCTATCCTGTTCCTGTGGTCAGTCACATCCTGGCCTCTCTCAAGGGGGGGCGTGTTTTTGCAAAGCTTGACCTAGCTCAAGCATATCAACAGCTGCCTGTTGATGATGATGCTGCTATAGCTCAGACTATTGTGACCCACAGGGGAGCCTTTAAGGTAAAAAGGCTACAGTTTGGAGTGAATGTCGCTCCTGGGATTTTCCAAAGCGTAATGGAAAACACACTACGAGGTATACCAGGGGTCTGCCCCTACTTTGACGATGTCTTGATTGCAGGAGACTCCACACACATTCTAGCTGAAAGGCTTAGGGCTGTCCTGTTAAGATTCAGGAAATCAGGCCTCAAGCTCAGAAAAGACAAATGCAAGATTGGGGTGCCTTCTACTGAATTTCTGGGATTCAAAATTGATGCTGCTGGGATTCATCCTGCTGAATCCAAACTAACTGCTATTTTAGAAGCACCCAGGCCAAAGTCTAAGGCCGAACTTCAGGCCTTCTTAGGCCTCCTGAATTTCTACAATTCTTTTCTTCCACATAAAGCTAGTGTAGCTGAGCCTCTTCACAGGCTACTAGACAAACAAGCTGTGTGGCTGTGGTCACAAGCACATGAGGCTTGCTTTAAAGAAGTCAAGGCCTTGCTCACTTCTAACAGTGTTCTTGCACATTTCAACGAGTCTCTTCCTGTGTGCATCGCTTGTGATGCGTCCCCCTACGGGGTTGGAGCTGTCCTGAGTCACCTCAGGTCTGATGGAACTCAGGTTCCTATTGCATACTACTCCAGAACACTGTCTTCTGCCGAGCGCAACTACGCTCAGATAGACAGG